GTAGATCCAATGTATCATTACTTTCTTCACAACCCACTGTTGGAGCACCTGGCTGGCTCAGTCAATAGAGCATCAACTCTTGATCTTGGAATTGTTAAGTTTGAGCCCCACATTGAGTGTAGAGATTACTTAAAAATATAATATTTTTTAAAACCTACTTTCTAATACTTTTACCTGGTGCTCTTTTTCTCACCAGAATGTAATCTCGAATTAAGGCACTATGTCATTTATACAATTCATTAATTTCTTTGAAAAATATTTGATAAGCATCTGCTGTGTCCCAAGCACTGTATTTGGGTAGCATGTGGACAGTGATTAACATGCAAGCATAGTCCCTTCCCCCATGGGACTTACAAATAAAGCAAATAAATAAATATATCATGTTCAACTAAGAATTTGCACTAATCAATACTCTTGTGACAATACTCAAGTGACATAAAACAAAACTTATACTATCTTAAGGGAAGGGTATGGAATCATAGCAATGGATGGGATAGAACTGATCTCAGCTAGATTCAGAAACATAAAAATATGAGTGTCTTCTTTGCCTATCTTTCATCTTGGCTTGGGTCTCTCTGTTGATATTCTCTCAGGCATTTTTATAAAGAGGGAATACATACATCTGGAAGCTCTGATGCTATACTTATGGCTTCACATCCAATACTCTACCACCTCCAATTTAATAGTGGTTGTTCCCACCATCAAATCAGAAAATCTGCGCAGCCCGGGTGGCTCAGCGGTTTAGCGCCACCTTCAGCCCAGGGCCTGATCCTGGAGATCTGGGATTGAGACCCATGTCAGGCTCCCTGCATGGAGCCTGCTTCTCCCTCTGCCTGTCTCTCTCTCTCTCTCTCTCTCTCTCTCTCTCTGTGTGTGTGTGTGTGTGTGTGTGTGTGTCTCATGAATAAATAAATAAAATCTTTTAAAAAATCAGAAAATCTGTTTCAGAGTATTGGTGTAATACGCAGAAGGGTCCTGAGGAATAATTAGATCTAGACCACACACTGCTATGGTTCTGCCTAACAAATCCTAAAAAGAAAGATCCAAATGGATTCAAATCACAATATCCTAATTGCATTCCAGAACAAAGCTCAAGAATATTTGTAGGGATACAAAAATATCCAGGACATGCCAAGGTAAATTCACAATGTCTAGCATCCGGTAAAAAATTAAGAAGCATGCAAAGAAACAGGAAAATATTACCCATAATAAATAGAAAAATCTGTGACTTGAAACAACCCAGAACTGATAATATACCAACTTGGGGTATCTTACTGATTATGTTGTTTAGATCAGACAGAATTCGCAAAGACATTGCACTTATTAAAACTGTATTCCAGGCAGCCCAAGTGGCTCAGCGGTTTAGTGCCGCCTTCAGCCCAGGGCACAATCCTGGAGACCCAGGATCGAGTCCCACATCAGGCTCCCTGCATAGAGCCTACTTCTCCCTCTGCCTGTCTCTCTCCCTCTCTCTCTCTTTCTCTATCTCTGTCGCTCATGAATAAATAAATAAAATCTTTAAAAAAACTGTATTCCATCTGTTCAAAATGCTAAAGGAAGGATTAAGCATGTTAGCAGAGGCAAGAAAAATAAAACACACACACATACATATTTATAGCATTGAAAACTACGGTGTCTATAATGAAAAATAATCCAGGGTAATTAGCAGCAAATTGAACATTGCAAAAGAAAATACTGGTGTATGAAGACAGCAATAAAAACTATTCAAAATGAAACAAGACAGGAAAAATTTAAAAAATAATGAACAGAGCATCTGTGAGCTTTAGGACAACCTTAAATAGTCTAATATACATATAATTGGAGTCCTGAAATAGCAGAGACAGAAAGAATAGAAAAAAATATTTGAGGAAATAATAAAAACACTATGAACTAAATAGACCTGATTGACACTTGTAGAACACCCCCTTCAACAAAAGAATAGTACACATCTTTCAAGTGCATATGAAACATTTATCAAGACGGACCATATACTGTGTATAATAAAAGCATCATTAATTTTTTAAAGAATTTAGGTCACACAAAGTATTTTTTCAGATCACAATTAGAAAGATATCAGAAAAATCTCAAATATTAACTAAATAGCATAACTCTAATGCATATCAAAGGAGAAATCAGAAGAGAAATAAGTAGATATTTTGTTTTGTTCAAACCACTTTAATAAGGTATGACTGACATACAAAAATCTGTATTTAATGAATAAAACATGATGAGTTTGGAGATCAATGTACATCCACAAAACCATCACTATAATCTATGTCATAAACATACCCATCACCTACAAAATTTCCTGCTGCCTTCCTTATTATTTTTTGGGTGATAAGAACACTTAAGATCTCACTCTTAACAATACTGTATTGTATACTTAAATTTTTAACTATAGGGTCTGTGCTGTACAGCACATTTCCAGGACTTATTCCTCTTGTATAACTGAAGCTTTATACCCTTTAACTAATACTTCCCCATTTCTCTCCCCATCCTGTCCTTTGCAGCCACCACTCTAATCTCTGCTTCTATGAAATTGACTAGTTTACATTCCTTATATGTATAAGTGGTATCATGTAGCATTTGTCCTTTTGCATCTGATTTGTTTCACTTAGCTAAGTCCTCCAGATTTATCCATGTTGTCAAAAATAGCAGGACCATGAGGCAGTTAGGTGTCCAATTCTTGACTTCAGCTCAGGTCATGACTTCAAGGTCATGGGATCAAGTCACATGTCAGGCTCTGTGCTGGGCACGATATCTGAGATACTGATTTCAAGTCTTTAAGATACATAGTGAGAAGTGGGATTTCTAGATCATAAGGTAGTTCTAATTTTTTGAGGAACCTCTATACTGTTTCCCATAAACTTTTGCTTTCTTGATAACAGCCATCCAAATAAATGAGGCAATATTTCATTGCAGGTTTGATTTGCATTTCCCTGATGATTCGGCATGTTGAGCACTTTTTCTATGTACCCGTTGTCCATTCATGTCTTCTTTAAAAAAAAAAAAAAAGATTTTTCTCTATGTTTTCTTCTAGGGGTTTTACAGTTTCAGATCTTACATTTAATATTTAAATCATTTTGACTTTTTTAAAGATTTATTTTATTTTTTAAAGATTTGATTTATTCATGAAAGACACACACACAGAGGCAGAGACACAGGCAGAGGGAGAAGCAGGCTCCATGCCAGGAGCCTGATGTGGGACTCAATCCCAGGACTCCAGGATCACACCTGGGCCAAAGGCAGGCACCAAACCACTGAGCCACCCAGGGATCCCCTCAATTTGACTTTTTGTGTAAGGACCCAATTTCCCAAAAACCACTTATTGAAGAGCCAATAATTTCCTCATTCTGTATTCCTGGCCCCCTTGTTGAAGAACAATTAACCAAAATGTCAAATTTTAAAACTTTTATTTTTTTAATAGTAGTATAGCTTTAAAGAGACCCAAAAGCTGAAACGAAATAAAAATTTTAAATATCTTATTACCTCAAAAGAAGGCACAAAGAGAGTAATACAAAAAAAAAAAGCAGAAAGGGGAAATCAAAAACAAGCAAGTTGGTAGATTTAAACTCAACTATATCAATAATTTCATCAAGTATAAATGGACTAAACATTTCAACTAAAAGTCAGAGATCCTTACAATGGGTAAAGAAGCAAGACCTGAAAGTGTATGTCATGCTAAATGAGAAACTGAAAATGGGATGATCTGTCAACAAGCATTCTGTATATCCACCACAGCATTGATAATGGTAAAACTGAGGAAAGGCAGATAAACTGTACCTTCAAGTTTTTCAAAGGACCCTGATACTTTTGACTCTGGAAATCTTATTTCAGAATTATCTATCTTCTGTATTCTTTCTTTTAGCCCTGAAAAGACTCCAGATCATGAAGAATTGAAGGGTAAACTGCCGATATCCAGATTCCAGAGGAGTTGTGACTTTCTCTGTTTCCTGAGAGTCTCTCTTGGCTCCAAAAATGGAGTCAATTGCTTATAAGTCATTGTTCCAAAACCTCTTATGAGTCTTCAGTTACCTTGGATTCTTCATTGTCTCCTTGCCACCTTTTCTGTGTGTGTGTCAGTTCATGCCCCCTTACACTTGCAACATATGAGATGTTTAAAGCAAGTGTTTAAAGCATTAAAGGTAACAATGTATTGGGCATTTATTGCCTGGAAAACAAGGTCTACTATTATAGTCTTTCACCATGCATTATATGACATGTTCCTTGAGGGTAGATACAGATTTTTCAAAATGTACAATGCAAACTCTATGGCAATGACTAAAAATGTTTTTAAAAGAAGTATATATAAGTAGAGGAAATAAAATGAATTTTATTTTTTAAAACATAATGAAATGAGGCGGCAGAAAACAGGAAAAATGAAACTAATAAAAAAACTAGCAAAACAATATATTTTTGTCCAGCTATATCAAACAGAAACTTTTTTTTTCTTTGCAATTTTATACCTTTATTTGACAATCAGTGGCTAGTTCTTACCCACATTAATTGCAGATTTTTGAAAGTTGTGACAAATACATAGGTTAAAATATATGGAGTTCGTTTGGTGAATCTTCATCCAATGTCTTTTGGACAACCACACACAGATATGGTATGGAACATTCCTTATTCCTTTGGGCCAATCAGCTTTGTTGAGCCTAGTGTCAATGTGCACTTGAGTTCCCATCTCCTTCATAGCAAATTCCCAGATTTCCTTGAGTGCTCAAGGAACATGCTTCTTGAAACCCATCCCATGGATGCTTGTAAATGTTGATGGTATATTCTCTTGCCACTACCTCTTTGGCAGAACAGCCCTTCTTCTCACTACCCTTCTTTGAGGGAGCCATTCTGCTGGACCAAGGTTGGAAAGAAACAATAATTTTTTTTTTCCTGATCACAGCAAGTGCCCTCTTTAATACCCATCACCTACCAGGCCTATCCCCTGCCCACCTCAAGCCTGAGTTTGTTCTTATCAAGATTCACTTATGGCTTAGTTCCCTCTCTCCTTTTTTTTTTCTTTTTAAGATTTTATTTATTTATTCATGAGAGACACACAGAGAGGCAGAGACATAGGCAGAGGGAGAAGCAGGCTCCCTGCAGGAAGCCCAATACGGGGCTCAATCCCTGGACCCCAGGATCACACCCTGAGCAAAAGGCACTCAACCACTGAGCCACCCAGGTGTCCCTCTCCTTTTTTTCTTTACCCTCTTCCCATATGTTCATGTTTTCTTCCATCTTCCGTGTCTTCACACAGCATTTCCATGCACAACGCAGACTGCCCTCTAATTATCACAGTCCCAGTCATATTGTATCAGGGCCCACCCTAATGACCTAATCTTAATTTCTAAATAAGGTCATATTCACAGATAGAACTTCATCATATCTTTTTGGAGGACACAATTCAACTCCTAACAGCAAGTACCTTGGAAAGTTAAGGAGAACTCAACAGAAATCATTAAATGAGGGGGTTGCTCAGGTGAAGAGGAAGACAAGCCAGGATGGATAAGAACATAGGAGGGGAGAAGAGATTAGGGAAGATGTTGGAGGTTTTGTAAGAAACCCTGTTAAGTCACTGCCAGAAAGTCTACTGAAAGTCTAGGAGGAAATATATTAAAATATTAGAAGTGGTGAGATTATCAGTAACTTTCAGCTTCTTTATATTTTTTGTATGTTCCAAATTTTATAAGTACATGACTTACCCAACCAGAGAGAAATAATCATTGTTTTAAAAATAACTACCCTGCATCTATTACAATCTGCTGAGAGCTTATAATGCAGGGAAGAAAGCTAAAATGCAGGAAAGTACATATACATGGAAAAAAACATGTAACAAAACAAAAACCTGAAATAAAGGTGATGCTGACCTATAATCTGCGCTCAATACTTACAAATAAACACAGACTAGAAAAGAGCACAGGCTTTTACTTCAGACAAATCTGGGTTTAATTCCAACACTCTCATCTGCCAGCTAAACAGTACTGAGTTCCTCCAAAGTTCTGTTTTCTTACTTGTAGAAAGAGGATTTTAATTTCCATCTCACACTGAGCTTCGCCAGGAATTGTGTGAGAGCATTACCGAAGAGGCCAGCACCACAGTGTGAATACTTCGCAAGTGTCTCCCAACATTTTAGGTGTGACATTAAAACCTTGCATATCCAATGTAAGAATCTGACAGATGAATACCATAATGAATACTTGAGGGCACAGATGTGGGTGGGCGAAGAACAGTAACAGCAAACGCAGGCAGAGTAAGGGAAGATCTCAACTTTCTGGTCCAGAAAAGTGAGGGGTATCGGTACTTACTGGAGAGAAGAATTACATGACTGAACAAAAGCAGAGTCTACAAATTTGTCAAATTTCAGGGACAGTGAAATAATCCTATACCAAAAGGCAACCTGGACTGCCTTATACAATAAGGGAGCAATCATCTCCTATAATAAGAAATTTCAGATTAAGGAAATTCCAATAGTCCAGCGATGCCAATGACCATGTTTTCTTCCTTTCCACTGTTACTGTGCTCTCCGCAGTTCCAAGACACCTGCTAACATCAGAAAAGGGGCTGTGTCTCCTCAAACACCTCTTCTTTAAAGCTATAAAATCTTTCCCCAGAAGCACCTTAGAAAATTTCTCATCCCAGCTCATTGGCCAGAATTGCCTCATGTGGGACTGGCTCTCCTGAAGCGCAGGGAAGGTGCCCATCAAACAGTTCAATTAGGAAGAACCAGAAGAGGAGGAGGGAAGTGGAGCAAGTGGCTGCTGGGAAGGCAACCAGTGGGGTCTGTCATCCCTGTCTATGCACAGCACACACACAAGGAGTGAACAAAACATGAAATGGAATGGAATGGACAGTACTGATGTGCTCCCTAGACCAGTATGTGGGAAGTGAGAGCAAAGGGCCAAGGGATGTATGTCTCTGGGCTGGGGTACGGGAGGAGATTCTTGGGCAGGAGAACCATCTCATTTCCCACCAGTCACTGCTGGGATGACTAAAGATGCTAATGGACTCAACCAAAAAAATGGTCGGAGGCGGGAGACCAGAGGGCAAGAGAAGGTGTGGAGATGCGTGCCATCTACAGCACTGTAGAAGGAAATGTCCCCAGCCCCAGAATCTAGGAAAACCCCCACCCGGTGAAGAGCAGGCTCTTGCTTGGTAGGACTTACAGGAGAGCTTGTTAGGGGCCAAAAGCCAGCAGAACTCCAACAAATAGCCCAGATTCCTACATGGGGGGACATTTTTGAACCATCTGCAAGCCCCATGACGTCCTCCCGACACACCCCCACAGCAATCTCCAGGCTATCTCGGTTCTCAACTTCCCAGTAATGTCTCCCTGAAATGAAAACGTTTTTTCCCAAAACACAGGGTAAGTGCTGAAATCTTTCCACAAACTCTGTGTTCTTCTGAGGGTTCCTCCATCCACTAACATAGCTCCACGCTGAAGAAAGCAATGGCCAAGAACTGGCTGATGCTCCATTCTTCACGTATCTCCCATCCTGGGAGAAGACAAGTTTGGGATGAGCTGTATCCACAGCTAGACTGATAGCCACTGCAGAGAAAACGAGAGCAGTGATTTATAATGCAATAGCTTACCACCAACCCTCCTCCAGAAATGCCCCTCTTCCAGCTTCAGTTCAGAACTTCTCCTAACAAGAACCGTCAAGGATGAGACTCCCCACTGCCTCTCAGCTCACCCTCAGCTGGGCCTAGCAGGCCACGAGGTGGCCTTATGCACAGTAAAATCTTCATTTCCCTTCTGCTCTAAACCACTAAGACCTAAAAACAGGAAGCTCATTATTTCATGGCCCCAAGTCTTCACAAACAGCATTAAATTGGGAGAAATGTTACCAACTTCTGCCTTGTTGAATCAGACCAGACCGAGATGGCTGATAGGATGGGGCTTTGCACTGGGACATGGAGGTGGCACTGTTAACAAGTTTTCCCCTCAATGCTCGCTGGGCATCTCCACAGGCACATAACAGATCACTCAAAACACAACTCACTATCCTAAGTCCCCTCCCATCCTCTTGGAACTCCTAGCCCTTACATGCAGATATCTTGTCTTCTGTATTCTCCGAGCTGTAAGAGCACTACCTCCACCTAAACACTTACACTTTGAAATCTTAAGGTTCTCTGACTCCTCTTTCCCTCTGACCCTGGATGGCTTATTCATCACCAAGACCTATCAATTTCACCTCTGAAATACCACTCAAGTTCTTTGCCTCCTCTCCATCCCAGTGCCACCATCTTCATTCAGTTTCAACATCCTCCACTTGAACTGTGTCTCTAGTTTCCTCCCTGGCCTCCCTGCCTCCCAAAGCTCTTTCCTCCCAGACTCTCCATGTCTCTCCAGTTTATTGAATTTTTTAAAAGATTTTATTTATGTATTCACGAGAGAGGCAGAGACACAGGCAGAGGGAGAAGCAGGCTCCCATCACTGAGCCACCCAGGTGTCCCAAGAGTTTTTTTTTTTTAATTAGGAATGGATGTTATGTTTTGATAAATGATTTTTCTACATCTACTGAGGTGTTCATATAGTTTTCCTTTTTTTTTTTTAGTTTGGTAATGTGGTGAATTACACTGATTTTTCCAATGTTAAACCAATCTTGCTTTTCTAGAAAAAAAACCCATTTGGTTGTGATGCATTATCTGTAAATATGGATAGGTTCAAATTGCTAAAATTATCTTCAGAATTCTTCTGTGTCCATGAGGGACACTTATCTATCGCCCTTTTCTCTTTATCTGATCTGGGTATCCTGATAATGCAGGCCAGGTAGAATGAATTGGGCATTCTTCCCTCTTCAGTTTTTTTTTGTTCAGAGCTCATGTAGAATGGATATTTCTTTCTTTTCTTTTCTTTTCTTTTTTTTTTTTTTTGAGATTTCTTTCTTAAGTATTTGGTGAATTCAGAGAAATGGAACATCATCCTTTTTTTTCCATTGTTAAGTATCATGTTCTTTTTTTTTCCTCTTCTTGCATCAAAATGTTCTCTTTACACTGGTTTAGGTATAGTTTCCCTCATATTTCTTGTGCTTAGGGCTTGTGAACTTACTGGATCTATAGACTTATGGTACTTACCAAATTTGGAAAATTTGGAGCTATTTCTTCAGATATTTTTCCTGTCTCATCCCCATCCCACTCATCTCTTCAGGAATCCCACTTACCACACATAAGGCTGCATAAGATTATCCCCCAGCTCACCAACACTCTTTTCATGGCTTAAGGTTTTTTCCTGTGTGTTTCATTTTGTAGTTTCCACTGATGCACCTTCAAATTCACTAACCATTTTTTCTGCAACATCTCATCACCTGTTAATCCCAATCAGTGTATTTGTCTCAATCACTGTAGTTTATCTCCAGAGGTTTGACTTGGGATTTTTTAGATCTCCCACGTCTCCAAATACTTCTTTACAGGATAGCAATAATAACTATATTAAAGTCCTTCTGTGTTTATGCTAACATTTGGGTCAATCCTGGGTCAGTTTCAATTATTCTCACTATGGGTCATGCTTTCCTACCTTTTTGCATGCCCAATAATCTTTGATTGGATGCCAGACATTGTAAATATACATTGTTAGGTGCTCATTTTTAAAAATTTTCTTGACCTTTGTCCTGGGATGCAGTTACTTTGAAATAATTTGATCCTTTTGGATCTAGTATTCATGATTTATAAGGTGGGTCCAAAGCAGTGCCCAGTGTAGGGTTAATTATTCACCACTAAGGAGGCAAGACTTTCCCAGGAATTAAGAGTCTTCTAGTTTCCCAGGAATTAAGAGTCTTCTAGTGTGGCTGCTAGGAACAGGCTTTGTTTAGGCCTTGTGGGAGCACCAGGAACTATTCCTTCTAATCATTTTTGGAAACGTCCTTTCTCAGTCTAAGATAGTTCTTCAAAAGCATTTGCTGGTCAGTGGTCATTACTCTGCTGAAAATTCAGGGGGCACCTCTGTAGATCATCGCCCTCTGGATGGCTCTCTCCTCGCCAGTCCTCTGCAAGCTCTCACTGCTTTGTTTTCCCTGGAAGCCGTTCCATTCCTCAACCTGGCTCCACCTCCCCTACCACTCCCTGTGATGGCCTGGAAGCTCTCTTAAGGCTGGAGAAAATCATACAGTTCATTTCATTTGTTTCACATTTCTTTGTCCTGTACTGCTTGATATCCAGGTTTGGGAAAATGGCTGTTTCATATACTGTATCTGTTTTATTTTTGTTTTTTTAGTTAGCTAAGTTTCAGGCTAAAGAGTAAATCCAGTCCCCAATATGTCATCTTAGCTGGAAGTAGACATCCACCATATGGTTCTTCATCAGGGATGTGGATGTGCCTGTGTAGCTTTTACAACACCTACACGCCTTGGCACTTCCCTGGAGATCCAATAAGTTTATCTTCAGACTTTCCTATACTCACCATCTCAACAAGCTCCTGCCTTTCCCCACAATGCACCTTATGGCCTAGTCACATTGGATACCCTCCCCTCCACTTTCTCCATACCTTAGCTCATGCTGCTCCCTCTACTTACAAGAATGTACCTCCATTTTCCACTTGACAAACACCTATTCATCCCTCAAATCTCAGAATAATGTCACCTCTGTATGAAAACTCCCCACTTCCCCTGCAACAGAGTTCTTTCTCTGACTTCCATATTTTATTTATACCATGATAAACAGTAGATCCCACAATGGTACAGTAAGTGATAGGAGTCTGTCTTTCTAGTTTGCTTAAATTCTTAGAATCAGTCTTTTCCTTTTTGTATCGCAAACACCTTACAACACAGGGTAACATGTTAAGTGAATGCTTCTTGAATGAAGCATATACCCATGTATTCTAGTTACCACCATTCCTCCTGACCCTCTTGCTGGCTGCATGTTCTGTTTCCTCTCTTTTCTAGATTTTTCTCATTGCTTATTCTCTTATTTTAAAGATTTCTGGGAGCTCCAACCATGCTTACCTTGGAATTGCTTCAGCATTTCCTTCATCATTGGTATCTGGCACACAGTCTTCATCTTTAGAATTTCAGGGGAATAGTTCACATCCTGGTTCTCACTCCTAAGGAAGGCACAGAAGCCTGCTCTTCTTCAGAGAAAACTCGGGCAGCCAAGGCCCCAACTCCCACTGAAGGTTCCAAGCCCAAAGCTCAGATCACTGCTCTCCCACCCGCCCCTTGTGAAAGTTAGTGGTAGAACTCCTCCACCCAGACTCTCAAGGTGTACCCACACCAATCTATGGAGCCCAGGCCTATTTCTCCCCTGACTCAGGCCACCATGAGAAAGCAGCAGCTCATACCTGTTCAACACATCTTTTGGATTCTGTGAAGAGAATAAAAATATAATTAAGTTACATCCCCTCCTCTTGAGATCTGGTACTCAACTCTGTGAGTGGACACTTTTCTGTCAGTCACTTTTGTTAATGTCACATATAACCTCATGCTGCCAAAACGAATGCATTGAACACATGGTGTCTTTTTTCTCACATGACCCCTCTGCACTGTTTCGACATTATTAACCAATCCCTTCCTTGAAACTCTATTCTTTTTCCTTTGGCATCATGATGCTAACTCTCTCCTGGCTTTTTGCCTACTTCTCCATATTCTCTTTCAACCACAGACAGTTACAAGTGTTGGTGAGGATGTCGTGGGAATACAAAATGGTACAGCCACATTGGAAAACAGTTTGGCAGTGTAACAAATTAAATATAAATACATGATACAATCCAGCAATTCTGCTCCTACCATCTACCCAAGAGAAATAAATGCATATGTCCACACGAAGAATGGCAGGTGAATGTTCACAGTAGTATCATTCATAATAGCCAAAAGTGGAAACAACCCAATGTCCATCAATTGGTGAACAATCAACAAAATGTGGTATATACTATAATAAAATACTATTCAGGAATAAAAAAAGGAATACAAATATAATACTAATAAATGCTACAACATGAATGATCCTCAAAGACATTATAAATAAAAGATTCCATAGACAAAAAAACTACACACTGTAGGACTCTGTTTATATATTTAGAAAAGGGTACTCTATGGAGTCATAAAGTAGGTTGTCTGAGATTGGAAGTAGGAACAGAGATTAACTATAAACAAGCACAAAGTAGGCTGCATGGGTGGCTCAATCAGTTAAGCATCTGCCTTCTGCTCAGGTCATGATCCTGGTCTCCTGGGATAGAGCTTCACATAGGCTCCCTGTTCAGCAGGGCTCCCTGCTCCCTCTCCCTCTGTTTCTCTCTCCCTCTCTCAAATAAATAAATAAATAAAAATCTTTTAAAAATAAAAAATAAACAAGCACAGAGTGATCTTATTGGGGTGTTTGAAATACTCTACAACTGGACTTTGGTAAGGTTTCCACAACTTGGTAAAGTTGTAAAAAGTCACTTATTTAATTATAAAAAGTACACTTAAAGTGGATGAATTACAAGGTATATACATTATACCTCAAGAAAGCTTTAAAAAAAAAGTATGAGAATGGTTAATTGCCACATGAAAAAACACTCAACCTCATTAGGCATTAGGGAAATGCATCTACCTTTTCTGGGGGAGAGAAAGGGTGCTGACTGAGGACCTGAGATAACATTACACACCATCCAGGATGGCCAAAATTAAAGAACTGACGATTTTAAGTACTGCCTAGTATAGAGAGCAACTGGATCTCTCACATATTGCAAGTCACAGTGTAAACTGGTGCAACCACTTTGGAAAATAGTTTGTTATAGCAAAGCTGAACCAACATATATGCCCTGTGACTAGGAATTGCTTTCAAAGATACACAACTGGTAGAAATGTGGACATACGTGCATCAAAAAGTCATGTTCATATCTTGCTTTTTTAATTAACAGTAAAAACTTTTAGAAACAACCCAAATTTTGCTAACAGTAAAATGAATAGTAGATTTTGGTATATTAATACAATGGAATACTATACAGCAGGGTTTTTCAACCTTGGCACTATTAACATTTTAGGCTGGATAAATCTTTGCTGGGAGCTGGATGGGAGGCATGTTCTGTGCATTATAGGATACTTAGGAGCATCCATGGCCTCTTCATACCAGATGTTGGTAGGAGTCCCCCCCCCCCACCCCCCAAGTTGTGACAACCAAAAATGTCTCCAGCACTGCCCCGAAGGAGCAAAATCACTCCTGGTTGGGAAATACTACACAGTGAGGAAACAAATTGCCATCTACAGTGACATGGGTTAATTTCACAACATAATGGTAAGCAAAAGCAGCACATACTGAAACTCTTATTCAAAAACAGGCAAAATGAAACCATGTGAGAAGTCTGGAGGAAGAGCACCCTCACAGAGAAGCATAGGGGTGGAGGGCAGGGCATCTGGCAGGCTACTCGTGTTCTATTACTTGACTAGGCTGGTGGTTTCATGGATGGATCCCTTGGTGATAATCTGTCAAGTTTATGATTTATACATTTTTATCTACAGATATTATACTTAAAATGTTTTTAAACATGTTTATTGTATTATGACAATAAAATCAAGGCTGTCTGAATCTGTGGACACAAACAATACTTAAAGGTAAAAATATAGCTTAAAAACATTTACCAGCAAATGAAAGGGTCAATGTAGATAAGCTAAGCAGGCCAGCTTCAGAGGCTGAGAAAGAGCTAGAGCTATGGAGCAAACCCAAGAACTAATAAAATAATAATAAAAACAAGAATTTCAGGTATTGATGATTAAACTGCAGCATTACTTATAGTGGTAATAGTGTTAGGGCAACTTGGATTTCTATCACTGGAAGAAGGAACTGGCAAAGTGTGGTAGATGGACATGTAAACCCAATGTATATATGACAACAGGAATGGATCTTAGAAACATAGTGTCCAAGGAAAAAAACAAGAGATCCAATGCAACAAGATTAAATTGTTGCATAAATTAAAAATACGTAAACCAAAGCAATACTGTGTGTTATGCAAGAAAACATTCAAATAAAAAGACAAAAATTAGGTACAACAGTATAGTTTTTATGATGTTCCTATAGTTTGTTTGTTTGTTTGTTTTGTTTTGTTTTGTGACTACAGTTCTAAGAATGGAATTAACTAATGGGCTAAAAATTAAGGAATAAAGGAATAAATACATAGATGGGTGAAAGAATCGGTAAAATAAGTTCTTTTAGGCCCTGAGACTCTATCATCTAGTTCTATCTTCTTTAATCATTTCCCTACCTTGCCCTTATATCGGTTGATATATTTTTGGTAAGCATTCTGCTCGTTCATGTGTACCTATGAGGTTTCAGATTCTGAGTAGATATTAAACCTATATTGAAAAAAAAAATGTTTACATGTGTTATCCTACGTTTGGATATGTAACTGGAACTTCACAGCTCAAGCAAGTTACAAAAGTTCTAGACAATTCCTGGAAATCTTTACACTTAGATGACATATAACACCCTGCTAGTGATTTCTTGCTGAAAATAACTGGTGAGTGGGTCCATGTGTCTCTCTTTCTTAAAGGTAGAACATTGTCTCCTAATGAGAGAGAAAAAAAAAGTAATCATAGACTGAAGGGTCCTTCAATAGTTCTTTCCTCTTCAGAGACATCATATGGAGAAAGGAGAGGTTCTGAGGGATCTAAGACCAAAGGTGAATTATCTCAGCAGTAAAAAAAGAAGATGGTCACAAATGTTGAATCCTATCTGAAAACTGAAATAGTTATAAGGACACTTGACCTGCTGAGGATATAAAGGTAAAGATTAACTCCAAGAAAGGACTATTGATAATAAACTGGCTTAATGTCCCAAATCTAAGTGTTAATGAATTACTTTTTACTTTCTTTTTTTTTTTTTAAGTAGGCTCCACACCCAATGTGGGGCTTGAACTCCCAACCTTAAGAGTCGCTACTGACTGAGCCAGCCAGACACCCTGAGTGCTAATGAATTAGAATTATAACCTTTTAAAGGTTGCCAGATATTAGAAAGTATTTAAATATACCAAAAATAAATAAATAAATAAATAAACAAACAAATAAATAAATAACAAAATAATAAATGAATATACCAATCAAAATCTGGAGCTAAGAGCAAAGATATTATCAAGCTATGATAGTAATGATTAAAAATTAGTAAGAAAAATTTATCTTAAAATCTGTTGACACAGTTATCTACTTTGTGATTTTAGGGTTTTTTGCTTTACTATTTTTTATTTATTTATTTTTTTAATTTTTATTTTATTTTATTTATTTATGATAGGCACACAGTGAGAGAGAGAGAGGCAGAGACATAAGCAGAGGGAGAAGCAGGCTCCATGCACCGGGAGCCCGATGTGGGATTCGATCCCGGGTCTCCAGGATCGCGCCCTGGGCCAAAGGCAGACGCCAAACCGCTGCGCCACCCAGGGATCCCATGCTTTACTATTTTTAACAAAGAATTATAAATGTACACAAAAAGGGTGCCTGGGTGGCTCAGTCAGTTAAGCATCTGCCTTTGGCTCAGGTCATGATCCCGGGATCCTGGGATCAAGCCCCACGTTGAGCTCCCTGCTCATCCAGGAGTCTGCTTCTCTCTCTCCCTGCCTGCTGCTCCCTCTGCTTGTGCTCTCTCTGTCAAATAAAGAATTAAAATCTTAAATAAAAAATAAATGTATAAATAAGATGAATGAAAAGTCTTAGATGTGCCTCAGATCCTAGGCAAACTATTAGACCAAGTGAATGTAGGCATCTCATAATACCTGAGCTCAGCATACCTTTCATGTTAATTTCCTTTGCAAGGTGAATCTTCAACTCTTTAATTGTACAATGACAGTAGTAATGCAATTATCAACAGTGAGAATACACTTCTATTAAACCCACTCACCAGGAAAGACATTCTGCTCTAAAGACCAGGGCAGCTGGGCGAGCAGTGTTAACCAAACCCTCCCGTCTCACCTGAAGCAACACGAGGGTGGAGCTCTGGCTCTTCTCTCTGATCTCTAAAATGAGCTGCTTCAAGGAAGTAATTATCTGATGGAGCTTTAACATGTTCTCATCGTGTTTCTTATTCATCTCTGCTTCTTCCTCACTTAGTCTCTGAAGAAATAGTTGTTCTTCTTCAGTCAGGAAGAGGTGCAGTTTTGCAAACTCCACGCTGAGTCTCATTCGCTGACTCTTCACCTTCTCCTAGAGCCACATGAGATTCATTCAGTCCTTGTTCTGTCTGGCCTGCTCCTCAGTTCCATGCATGCGACTCCCCAACCATCCCTGGCGCTTGCATCCTAATCACTCCTCCAGAAAGCTCCTGCCCGCCCTCTGCAAGTTTCTGCTAATCTATTTATACCCTACTTGGCATCTTTGGACTGGCCTATATAGTATTAGTTCATTCTTTGTAACCTTTGAGTCTCTACTGCTGGTGGCAATGCCTTATTTGTATACTTTGTAAACTAAAATACACTTTTGCATCTCTTCGTTGGTTTAGCCTCCAGAACACCTACAATTTAGTTTCGTTAAAACTTTGGGTGGGCATGTATGCATGCACCTCGTGCCTCCCAACTAGACTAGTATCTCTGAAAGCAAAGCCAATTTCCTTTCCACAGTGCCATGGACCCAAACCAACTACAACCTAGGGAGTATACTTAGGAAAAAGTGGGAAGGAGAAAACATTTCCTTAGAGACATGGGGATGAAGTATGTGAAACTCCCATCGCCCAAAGCCACAGGTCAGCAGAGACAGACACTTTCTGTTCTATCACTTTATCTTCAGGGAGACTCACAACTCTTCCCAACAATACCAAAGGGCCCCAGGGGCAAGAAATGCCCAACAGCTTCTGCTATTACCTTCCACTCGGCAGCATTCTTCACTTCCATGTCCTGTAAATGCATGGCTTTCTTTATCTTGTCCTTCAGACTACACTGAGTCTTACAAAGCTTGTCCTGCCGGCAGAAACACATATCAGAGAAATCATCTCCCCCAGCATCCTGATTGTTCAAGAGCTAAAACTCACCTAATACAAACAGGAAATGAAATTGAGAAAATGTGGAAGACAGTTACAGACTTAGGCATAAAAAGTATTCTGATCTGAAATCTTCCTAACACTATATAGAGTCTGCCTACTAAGCTGGCAAAAAATGAAAACTATTAGAGGATTAATAAATGTCTAATATTGGCAAGGGAGGCCTCTGACACTATAATAGTAGGAGATTTTTGTAAAAAGTTGCCATCTTTTTGAAGGGCAACCAGCAGGATTTAGAATCATTTAAAATGTGCATAATCCTACTTCCAATAATCTGTCCAATGAAACACTGGTAAAAATAATCAGTATGTATAGGAACATGCATTGCAGCATTATTCATTATCCATCAATGGGGAATTATGAAATAAATTATGGCATATTGATACTCTATACCACTCTCAGGCAGCTCTCTATATACTGACATGCTATCTTTTTTTTTTTTTTTGTATATTTTTTATTGGAGTTCGACCTGCCAAGATATAACACCCAGTGCTCATCCCATTAAGGCTGATGCTATGCTATCTTATGTTAAAAAAAAACAAAACAAAACAAAAAAACTAAGCTGCAAGACAATAGTATCATATAATTCTGTATTTATTTTTTTAAGATTTATTTATTTGAGAGAGAGGGGGCATGTGTGAGCAGGGAAAGAAGCAGAGGGAAAGAAGAGCATGCAGATGCCCTACTGAGCATGGATCCCTCCACCCGGCTCAATCCCACTATCAGGAGACCATGACTTGAAATGAAATCAAGAGCCAGGGATCCCTGGGTGGCGCAGCAGTTTAGCGCCTGTCTTTGGCCCAGGGCGCAATCCTGGAGACCCGGGATCGAATCCCACGTTGGGCTCCCGGTGCATGGAGCCTGCTTCTCCCTCTGCCTATGTCTCTGCCTCTCTCTCTCTCTCATTCTGTGTGACTATCATAAATAAATAAAAATTAAAAAAAAATTAAAAAAAAGAAAAGAAATCAAGAGCCAGACGCTCAACCAATGATTGAGCCACTCAAGTGCCCCTATGTGTGTGTGTGTTTGTATTTAAATAGAAATGTGGAAAAATATATATCTAATTATTATTAACCCTGGTTATTTCTGGGGAATAGAAATGGCTTGGAAATTGGGCAAAATTTAGTCCAAGGAGGACTAAAATTTTTATAAATTTGTCTTGTTTGATTTTCTACAAAAGGCATATACCATTTTGTAATTTAAAAACCTGAGGGAGCTTTAAAAAATAAAAGGAATTAACCAAATGGGCTATGGAGGGGCGGCACCCGGAAGACAGAAGCAGGCAGGTTCAAGGCGTGCACACACGGGAGGAAAACCAGCAGGAACTGGCTACCAAAGGGCTGCAGGAGAAAGGAGTCCAGATTCAGCCCCTGGGTTCCGGCTTGACCCCTAGGACTGTGGGCTATTTACCAAATTAGGTAATACGGGGAAATGAGTGGTATGTAAATAGAAGGTGAAAAATTATATTCAACTTGAATAAACTGAGTTTGAGCTGTGTGGAGGACATCCGAATCGGGACAGTTAGCAGTTAAGGGTCAAGAAAGAGATCTAAGGGGCGCCTGGGTGGCTCAGTCAGTGAAGTGCCTGCCTTTGGCTCAGGTCATGATCCTGGAGTGCTGGGATCGAGTCCTGCATGGGGCTCCCTGCTCAATGGGGAGTCTGCTTCTCCCTCTCTCTCTGCTCCTCTCCCCTTCGTGTGTGTCCACAAAAAGACCTGTATGAGAATATATCAGCTTCATTCATAAGAACCAAAAACTGGGAACAGCCCAGGTATGCAGTGATTGAAAGATAAACCAACTGTGCTATGTTCATATAACAGAATATGACTCAGTAGCAAAAAGTTACAGGCTACTGATCACACAAAATGGGCGAATATCAAACTAATGCTGAGCAAAAGGAACCTATATAGAGGAGTACAGACAATACGATTCCATTTATATGAAGTTCCAGAACAACAGGCTAAACTAATCTTCAGTGGAAAAAATTAGAACTGTGGTTGCGTGGGGGGGGAGAGAGCAGAGATTAACTGGGAAAGAGGGTGGAGGAGCTTTCTGGTGTGATGATAATGGTCTTTTATATATATATATATATATATATATATATATATATATATATATGATTTATTTCTTTCTTTTATTTGTTTGTTTGTTTATTTATTTATTTTATTCATGAGAGACACACAGAGAGAGAGAGAGAGAGAGAGAGAGAGAGAGAGAGAGAGAAAGGCAGAGACACAGGCAGAAGAGACAGGCTCCATACAGGGAGCCTGATGTGGAACTGGATCCTGGGTCTCCAGGATCACACCCTGGACTGCAGGCAGCGCTAAATTGCTGCGCCACTGGGGCTGCCCTATGTATATAAGATTTTATTTTTAAGTAATTTCCAATGTGGGGCTCAAGCTTACAACCCCAAGATCAAGAGTCACATCTTACACTAACTGAGCCAGTCAGGCACCCTGGTATCATTCTTTATCTTGAGGATTTAAGGTGCCCAGGTGTGTGCATTTGTCAAAGCTCAGCAAACATATACTAAAGATGTGCATATTTAATTGTATTGTTACTTCAAAAAACACCACAAACAAACATTAAGTGTGGTAGACAGTATGCATGCTAAAGTACAGGAGGAAGTCTGCAATTAATTTTAAATGCCTCAAAAGGAAACAGGAATTAATTGATGGATGCAGAGAAAAGACAGATGGACAGGTGATAAATGGAGTAAAATGCTAGTGGCAGAATGTAGATGCGGGTATACTTGTGTTACTATAAAATTCCTCCAACTTTCACATTTGCTTGGAACTTGCATATTAAAATGTTGAGGGGGATGAGATTAGGTTGTAAAGGGATTTATATAGTTCTGTTATACATCACAAAATCACCTGTGCTATTTTCTTTCTAATACAACACTTTCTAACCTTATGTAATCTATTTATCATCCCTAATTGTTAACTTAAATAGGCATATAACCTGCTACTTAGGAAGCTATTTCAAACAATTGTATTCATTTATCAATTATGTAACTGCTACTTTGTGATTACTATCAAATTTGATGTACATGGGAGGTCTGTAATCAGATTAGTTGTTCTGAATATGACCAAGAATTTTTTAAGTTTTCATTTTTGTTTAATAATGAAAAAAATAATCTTTTAAATAGCATTTTTCAGTTTTTAAAAAAAAAAAAAAAAACCCTTAACAATTCCAGCATGCACGAATTATCCTGTATCATTGGTTCTATTCCAAGACTGAATCCTGCCACAGCTGGAATATGAACAGCCTCCCCCACTCCCCCAAATAAAAATAAGAATTCCAGGATTAGAAAACTCGTTCCCCGCAATAACAGAAACTGCCACGAAGTGGCAGGAGAGCAACACCAAGCAGTTCTTCAACCCAAATTCCAGGCGTCCTCCCTCCCTCTACTCTCCAGAAGTACTGAGCAACTTCCAGGCCTCTTAGATTCATCACAAGCCATTCCAAGCCACCACACTGTTGAATATGCTGTTCCCTTCGCCTGAATATCCTCTCCCCTATGTAATGTACTCACCCTCCAAGAGTGAGTTTCTGTTCAACTTGGTGAAACCATTTCTCACTCTTCCCTGATCAACCTCAGACCTTTGATCTACTTGATACAAACTGGGGTAACTCATTCACACACTGAAATTTTTGGTCTACACGCTGCTGTCCCCTACAAGACAAGGCCTATGTCTTTCTTATCCGTTTATGTCCAGATCCTAGAACACCTGGCATATAGTAAGCATAAATAAATGTTACTGGGTGAAGGAATGGATGTATACTTTGTAGTGCCACTTGGCGTATCTCCTGTTTGTAATCAATTGATAAAACCGTACAGCATTTTATAGTTTACAAAACACTTGTATCATTCAACCCACGTATTCAACCAGTACTTACTAGATACCAAATCTGTTGGGAGACCACTGGAGTTACAGCATAGAAGGATATAGGACTACTCTGGAAAGGATGATCAAGGAAAGTCTTCAAGCTAAAAGCTAAAAAGATGTAAAGGACGGAAGGTGGAGGAGGTAAGAGAAAGAGAACAGGCTTGAAACAAAAGCAAGAAGGCAGTGTGGCTGGAGCAGAATTAAGATAAACTGATTTATTCAACTGAAACTCCTTAACCCATAAAATTGGCAGGACACATAATCCTCAAATTCAAACATTTAAGTGATTTTTCCCAAATGATGAAAGAAAGATCGTAACATACCCCTGCCTCATCATTCCAAGCCTGGCTTTTCCCAAAACATCAGTTGTCTGTTACACCTGTAACTATACATCTGTACTGTCCAATACAATACCCATTAGCCAGGTGAGCACCCAAAATGTGGACAGTCAACATAAACACAGACTGCAAAGGCCTATTATGAAAAACAAAAGTAAAATATCTTACTGATAATTTTCCATAGCGACTACTGTTGAATAACAGTCTGGATAATTGGGTTCAATAAAATATATTATTAAAATTAGCACCACCCATTTCTTTTTACCACTAGGAAAGTTTTATTATAAACGTGGCTCGCATCCTGGTTCTATAGGGCGACACTGATCTACACCCTCCCGGTATGACTGTCTTCAACTGGAGCTCCCAGGAGCCAGTACCTTGAAGATTCTCCGCAGACCCTCCCCATCCCAGTTTTAAGCCCAGCTCTGCGATCCGTCAATCGCTTTAAATTTGCACCCGGGGGCGGGAGGGGGTCGTCCTTATTCAGTGGGAATAGCGGCCACCTGGCGGGTCTCGAGGTCAACGTAAGCGTTCCCGAGACTACCGCAGCCCCGCCACGGCCGGCTCACCCGGTAGCTGCTGAAGGCCTCGTCGATGGGCGCCATGGTGTGCGCCTGGTGCTCCTGGGACTCCCTGCACACCAAGCACACGGGCCGCTGGTCTTCCTCGCAGAAGAGCCGCAGCGCTTCCCGGTGGCGGCCGCACTGGCCGGGGGGCACGGGGCCCTGGCGGCGGCGCCGCGTCTTCTCCGTCAGCCGGGCCAGGGCCCAGTTGGGCCGCAGCGAGGCGGGCGGCGACAGATGGCGGCACTCGGGGCAGGGGAACGAGCCACCGCCCGGCGCCCAGCTGCGGTGCAGGCAGCCGCGGCAGAAGTTGTGGCCGCACTCGATGGACACCGGCTCCTCGAAATAGTCCAGGCAGATGGAGCAAGTCAGGTCCTCCTGCAGGTCCTCGGCTTCCATGCCGCCTCTCTGTCCCGGGGTCGGGCTCTGTGTCGGACGCCAGGCGCGGGCACGGCCGGCTGGCTGGCTGCGGGCGGCCGGAAGGGGGCAGTGCGGGAGCTCCGCGCCCGAGGCTCGGGTCCCGCCCTCCCTCGTGCGCGCCCGCTGCGGAGCCTGGGCACGAGCCTGGCTGCTGCGGTGTTTCCGCGACGCGAGGGCGTTGCAGGGCTGCCCGGGCCTGGCCGCGGGGCACGACGGGACGCTGGCTGCCCTCGGGCCAACCATAGAGATGCGGAACTGGCTCCGGGAACGCCTAGAGCGGACGCGCGGAGTCCTGGCGAGCCGCAGCCGGAAGAGCCGAGCGGGGAGGCACTAACGAGTCTTTCCTTCCTTCGCGTCGGGGAGATGGGATTCGCGTCTGCCCCCGGCTCGGGGAGGCTTAAGTTCCGACGTCCTCGGAGAGCTGCAACCCGGGCGGGTTCTCTGGGCGTGCTGCAGCCCCGGGCCTGGAGGACCACAGGGATCTGTGCAGCTGGGCCTGGAGTGGGGACGAAGGAGGCGCAGGGCGGTTAAGCTCGCGCTCCCTGAAGTCGGTTCGTTTCAGTCAGCCTTGGTTCTCGGTGTCCAGCCCCAAGGCTAGTTGAGCTCTTGGAAAGGCAGGATTTTCTACTGTGAAGCCCACATATTCTCCGGGTGTTGGAGGGGCCAGGTGAATTGAAGAGCCAGTATTCGGAGAGGCCCCCAGGAAAGGGAGTGTTTAGCCCCCTCGAGCTCGTGGGGAGATGGCTGTTTACCCCGCTTCAGCCTGATTTCCCTCTCTTTCCAAGCACCGGAGACAAACACCAGGTCAAAGAAGTTCATTCTTAGAGCATGGAACACACTCACCCAGCGCAAATAGGGCTTCTAACACTTGTCAGGGTCAAGAATTTTGGGTTAGATGGTGTTACCCAGATAGAAGACTTCCCACCAGTTTGGTGGTTCAACTCTCAGTAGTAGGTCTGTGTGTATGGGATGCTCTAAGCCAACTAGGGGTGACCTGCTGGTGGATCTACCTAACATACTGGAAAGGAGCAGGTCTAGCTGCAGCCCCAGCTGCTGGAGCATTCTCGACCCTCCTACCTGAGGAGGTGAAGACCAGGGTGCCAGAACATAGCCTGGAGAGTGGAGCTGCACCTGTCATAAGGAGGACATCATGAACAGTCTGATAGGACCAGGAAAGGAAATCAGTTGTTTCGGGTGGGAATGGTTAAGATTCCGAAGCATGGCTATAGCCTTTGTGATACCCAACGTGAAGAGTAACCATTTTGCTCTCAAGAAACATCCATGGAGGCTTTCAACAAACAACATGCTTCCCTTTTTCAGAGAATTGTCTCTTTCCCTTCATAGGATTTTTTATTTTCCTCTTCTCACTCTATTCTTATGAATGAAATTTTTAAATTCTTCTTGTGTCTCAATATCAGATACTGCCTTTCCATAATATGCTCAGTGAGTAGTTACTGAATGTCCAGTTAAATGACTTAAAAAGGGGGTTCCTGTGATCTCTGTGTTGGGGTTTTTGACAAAAGTCCGACAGAATATCTACTTTTTTGGGTTTTTATACAACTAATAAATGCATATTCTTTGAAAATTGGAATACTGTATTTTTTATTTATTTTTATTTTTTAGTACTTATTCAAGTATAACCGACTTACAATGGTACATTAGTTTCAGGGCTACAGCTTAGTGATTCAGCAATTCTGTACATTACTCAGCTCTCCCCACGAGAAGTGTAATCACCATCTGTCCCCGTACAAAGTTATTACAATAATACTGATTCTATGGAATACTGTAAGGAGAAGAATCTGAGTCTTAATATAAACTAAGCAGGAAGAAGTGGTCTCATCAGTTACTGATTTACTGATTTTTTACCATGAATGTAATGTAAGTGTGTATGTGTCTGTATGTCTGCCTATGTATTGAGTGGCAAACAATGTCCCATGACACCTTAAGGTCCTTATGGCTTCTATCCTGCCATACTTCTTTTTTTTTTTCTATCCTGCCATACTTCTGAGATGAACTTCCTTCTTTACTGAAAATACTGAGGATTGCTAAGTCGCAGTTTTATTCATATGGAATTTCAAGGGACCCCAAATAGCCAAACAACCTTGAAAAAGAAGAACAAAGCAAAAGGATTCATACTTTCCAATTTCAAACCTTACTACAAAACTACAGCAATCAAAACATGTGATACTAGAGTAAGAGTAAAAATACAGATCAATGGAATAGAATTGAGAGTCCAGAAATAGTGCTATATATGGAAAAGCAACAGATTTTCAACAAGGATGCCAAAAATCATTATATAGAAGAAAAATGGGCTTTTCAACAAATGATGAAGGGACAACTAGATACCCGCATGCAAAAGAATGAATTGAACCATTATACCATATATAAAAATTAATTCAAAATCAATCAGACCCAAATGTAAAGCTGAAACTATAAAACTTTTCGAAGGAAACATAGGTGTCAATCTTCACAATCATGGATTAAGTATCAGTTTCTTAAACCTAACACCAAAATCAGAAGCAGCAAAAGAAAAACTTGAATTTCATCAAAATTAAAAACTTTTGGGACACCTGGGTGGCTCAGCACTTGAGCAGCTGCCTTTGGCTCAGGGCATGGTCCCAGAATTCGGGATTGAGTCCCACACTGGGCTCCTGCAGAGAGCCTGGTTCTCCCTCTGGTTTATGTCTCTCTCTCTCTCTCTCTCTCTCTCTCTCTCTCTCTCTATCTCTATCTCTCTCTCTCTCTCGTCTCTCATGAATAAATAAAATCTTTAAAAATAATAAAACAATGTATTCAGGGGGATCCCTGGGTGGCGCAGCGGTTTGGCGCCTGCCTTTGGCCCAGGGCGTGATCCTGGAGACCCGGGATCGAATCCCACGTCGGGCTCCCGGTGCATGGAGCCTGCTTCTCCCTCTGCCTGTGTCTCTGCCTCTCTCTCTCTCTCTGTGACTATCATAAGTAAATAAAAAATTTAAAAAAAAAACAATGTATTCAGTTCTTTAAAAAAAATTAAAAACTTTTGCATCAAAGGACATGATCAGTGAAGTGAAAGACAACCCACTGAATGGGTGAAAATATATGGGAATCATAGTTAAGGACCTAGTATCCAGAATATGTAAAGAACTCAACAACAAACATACAAACAACCCAATTAAAAAATGGGCAAAAGATCTGAGTAGACCTTTCTCTAAAGAAAATATACCAATAGTCAATAAGTACATGAAAAGATATTTAACATCATTAGGGAAATGTGAACCATACCACAATTAGCTAACACTTCACCCCACTAAGATGGCTACAATTTTAAAAAAGAAAGGAAAAAAAGAGAAGGAAGGAAAAAGAAAAAGGAAGAAGGTAGGAGGAGGATAACCAAGTATTGATGGGGATGTGGATAAATTGAAACCCATTTATACATTGCTGCTGGGAATGTAAATGGTGTAGCTGCTGTTGGAAAACAGTTTTGTAGTTCCTTAAAACGAATAACCATATGCCCCAGCAATTCCACTCCTAGGTATTTACCCAAGAGAGTTGAAGACGTATATCCACACAAAAACTAGTATATGAATGTTCATAGCACCATTATTCATAATAGCCAACAAGTAGAAACGGTTCAGATGTCCATCAACTGAAAAATGGACCAAAATGTGTGGTAAGCCATACAATGAAATCATATTAAACCATAAACAGGAATGAAGTACTGACATGTGCTACAACACAGATACACTTCAAAAGCATGCCAAGTGAAAGAAGCCAGTCACAAAGACCACATATTCTATGATTGATTCCATTTATAGGAAAGGTCCAGAACAGGAAAATCTGTATACAAGAGGAAATAAATATACATATGGAGAGAAAGTATATCAGTGGTTGCTTATTTGGGGGGAAGGAGCATGGAAGTTTGGGGGTAAAAACTAAGAGTTGTAGGGTTTCTTTTCAAGTTGATGAAAAAGTCCTAAAATTGTATTAATAAATGCACAACTCTGTGACTACACTAAAAGCCATTGAATTGTAAACTTTAAGTGGATGGATTATATGACATATGAAACTGTATCTTAATAAAGCTATTTTAAAAGGTTATCAGGGGAATTCCAAATGACATGTTTTTTTCCATCCTTGGTTACTTGGCTGGACTCTGGTTACAGTAGATGAGGGATTCTTTATAAAATACTTGCATAGCAGAAAGAAAAATTATTAATTTTCTAGTTATTGATTTTTGGGGGGACCAAATGTATTTCCTTAGGAATGAGCCTTCCTGATTTGCCCAGGATAATTTTGGGTTCAGAAGGAGAAAACAAAACCAGGTCGTTGAGAATTTGAGAGCAAGGGAGATCTGAGGGGGAAGATGTTTCTACAGGAAGGTAAGAGGCTGGAACACCTTCAGACAGATGGGATGGAGAGGCTCAAGAAAAGAGAAGCTTGAGATTTAGTTTTAAATTATCTGCTAAATCATACTGTGATATAAACCTCCCTTCCTTTTACCCCTGAATCAGCAGCAAAACTCTACCATCTTTTCTGGGTAAAATGAGGGATATGAGTTTAAAAAGTAGAAATTTGGCTCTGGATGTGAGTTGCTGCTGGTCTGGAGACAAGAGGATAGTTTCTGTCCAGTGGAGAACAAGTATTGAGCAAAAGTCCGAGCTGGCAGTGGCCTCAAGTCGACATAAGCCTCTGAGTTCACAGTAATCTGCCTAAGGGATATGGCTGAGTGTTTGGATAAATTAAATCTGAATGTTCAAGGACATTGGGTTATATATGTGCAGAAGGCCAATCTGAATATGACAAATGCTGTGGGGCTGGCGACATCCATAGGTTACAGGCCTTTGAAGTTGGGGGGAGCAGAGAACATGGAACAACAGAGGAAGGGTAAGTAGAGTCACCATGACAGTGAAATCGTATTCAGCAACAGGAATGCCAAAAACAGCGGTATTATTGTGCAGGACAGGGGAGAAGCACAGTTTTATGGAGGCTTCTGCTGGCTGACTCTGGAACCAAGCCCATGAAAATTATGTGGCTGACACCAGAAGGTTCTGGTAGGAAGGCATAAGCGAGAGTTGTCCCGGGAAATGCTTCAGGCAGCGTGGCCACTGTGGCCCTTAGAGATGCTTCAACAGCCTCTAATTTGTCATGGAAGTAAATCCCCATTCACTGGATGTTCGGAAGAAGATCCAATCATAGGGTTCCCTTCAGAAGTGAGTCAGGTAGCTTCATAACTCTGTAAAGTAGAAAACCAAATGGGACCTGAGACTTTTTCTAAGTAGGAAGAGGACTAAGTGGAAAGGCAGGAGGTACAACAGACTGAGTACCCTGGTCCTGATTCATTGGAAGGAATTGTCAAACTGAGAGAGATGGGGATTGGGAGATGAAATGGGAGCAGTGGTCAGAAGACATATGCCTAGAACCTGGTTTTCTGTTTTGCAACATGTGGGAGTTGTGCCTCCCAGAGGTAGAGGGACCTGCTGTGGGAGATCATCAGGACAGAGACATCAGAAGCAAGAAGAAGGAGGGACGCCAGTGCCTTCTCACCTGCTTCTTGGAACTGCTCTTTGGCTTCCACTGCTGGGAAGTTATCAGTCGGATCCTTGCGTTTTTTGGTACTCTCTGAAGTTGAAGAGTAGTTAGAAGGAGATTTGTGCTTCCAGGTCCTCCACCATTTCCCCAGGCCCAGGAGCACAAGCTCCACAAGAGTAAATAAGAGACAGAGCCCACTGACCCCAAACATGGTCTTTAGGAAGATGGTCTTCTCAAAGGGCCGGGACAGGTAACAGGTTATACTGCCAAGGCAAGGTTCTCGACGACATGCAAAGGAGCTAGGCATCTTGAACCCATACAGATGGTACTGCAACCCCAAGGCTGCTCCCTCAAGGACCAGCCGCACCCCCAGCTGTGCTACATAGGCCCAGAGCAGCCTGGGGCTTCCAGCCCCTGAGGCGTCTCTGCTCTTCTCCCCCTGGTGGATCAGGGTCTCCTCCTTCACCTTCCCAGATTCTTCCCACCGCCAGATCACATGATAGAGAATGAGACCCATGTAGAGGGTGCTGGGCACAGCCACCATGATGACCTGGAAGGCCCAGAAGCGCAGTGGGGAGAAGGGGTGGAAGGCATCATAGCAGGCGGCCTTGCAGCCTGCCTGCTGAGTGTGACACACAAATTCACTCTGCTCATCACCATAGATTCCCGTCCCACTGGCAGCCAGCAGCACAAGACGGAATCCCAGGAGCACAGGAAGTAGGAGGTGCCCCACGGCAGTGGAATGCCTGCTGTCTTCAGCCAACAGCTGCCTCAGGAAACTGCCACACATCCTGTTAGGGACCAGAGGACAATAATGAGTGTGGGTGTGTTGCTCCCTGTCCTTTAGGAGGAGGGCAAGACCACCTCTTTCCTGTTAATCCAAGGATAGATAAAGCAATCCTTCTTGCTCTTCTCCAAGGGTCTGATTGATTTATTCCCAAGACTGATGGCTCCTAATTACAGATAATGGAGTCATCTACGTAAAATAGTGAGTGGATGTGGGTATGGCTCTCTCTCCTGCCCCCCTCTGTACGGTGTGGTAGAAGACTAAGGTCTATCTTTGTCTCTCTTTCCCTCCCTCCCTCTGTCCCTTTCCCAAAGGCTAGTCAGAGTCCAGAGCCCTCTGAAAACAGTCACTTCCCCAACTGATGGCCACCTAGCCTGGTGCTACTACTGTCAGTGGCACCTGAACACGACCCCAGGGGAACATGCATTCTCTTGCCCTCTGCTTTTCTCTGCCACCATGCCTCAGCTACTCACAGGTGTGTGGGTCTGGCCTTCACTCTCATCAAGGTAGTATGACTGAGATGCGATTAGGGTAGGGGGCTCAATGTGGATCAAGTGAACAGAGTGAGTGTCAAGGCCCGCTTTAGTCTGGTGTTCCTTAGACCTAACCAGCTTTGGAAAAGGAGAACATTTTAAAGAAAACCAAGGGGATCCCTGGGTGGCTCAGGGGTTTAGCGCCTGCCTTTGGCCCAGGGTGTGATTCTGGAGTTCCGGGATCGAGTCCCACATCAGGTTCCTATGCCTGTGTCCCTGCCTCTCTCTCTCTCTCTCTCTCTCTCTCTCTCTCACGAATAAATAAGTAAAAAATCATAAAAAAAAATTTAAAAAAATAAGAAGAAAGAAAGAAAGAAAGAAAGAAAGAAAGAAAGAAAGAAAGAAAGAAAGAAAGAAAACCCAGCAGAGTCTACTAAGGGAATGCAATGAGGTATAAGGCTAAAGCCAGAGCTGACTGGATAAAAATTTGAAATTCGGCCCTGCTTTGTCATTGTTCCTTGGGCTCATCTCTCCTGCATGGTGAGAGGTGACCATGGTCAGGAACAGGGTTCAGAAATCTGTCACTTCTCCAGACAGAATAGCACCCTGCTGCAGCCCTCACTCTATCTTTATCTTTGTCACAACAGGGAGCCCTCCTCAATGCCCAGTCACTGTTTCTCACCATCCCTGTTCAGCCCAAACTCTTTTTTTTTCCCTTGAGGATAATTAAATTACTCTTTTGCTTCTAATTTTTTAGTGGGACTTTTATTTATTTTTTTAAATATTTTATTTATTTATTTATGAGAGACACAGATAGAGAGAGAGGCAGAGACACAGGCAGAGAGAGAAGCAGGCTCCCCATGGGGAGCCTGGCATGGGACCCAATCCCGGATCCCAGGATCACAACCTACGCCAAAGGCAGATGCTCAACCGCTGAGCCACCCAAGAGTCCTCTAATAATAACTGTTTAAAGGAATGTACAAGTAATGCTTTTTAGATCAGTTCACCACTTACTGTAATGTTTTGCTTTTTTAGTTTGTGCTTTTTACTTTTTACATATATTTGATCCTTTTAGTTGAAAATTATACCCTTTAATTACAGTTTATTCATCTTTTTAAATGATTTCTTTTTCAGATTTTTAAGTTACTTTATAAGTTCAGTAGGGTGATGATTTTCAAATTTTCAAACCCAGCCAATATAATTTAATGACTTGGACTTTTCCACAGTAATTAAATAATTATAGATTTAAGTACATAATTCTAATAACATTTTAAAATGTAAGTATCCTTTTAAGTTACATTAGCCCTAAAAGCATTTGAATCTTTCTAAATAATAGTAAATTTTTAAGAAATAGTGGTAAATAAAATCAGCAATCTGTGGGAACCACATTAAAAAATGCCTATAATGTGATATCAAAACTAGGAAATGACATCTTTTTTCCATTAATCAGCCCAAACTCTTATACACTGGATCCTTTCAGTCTCAGAAGATCCTGAAAACCTTTTATTCCACAAGGAAAATAGAAACTCTTTGATGGGGAGCCACGCAGCCCCCCCTCTTTCATGCCACTTATTCCTGTCGGATATTAGAGAAGTGGCTCTCCATTTGCCCAAGTCCACTCTCCCTCCCAGACCTATGTCCTTGGCCCCCTGCCAGCTGCATCAAGGACTTACCCACCCTTGTTTCCTCTCTGCACTTGCTTAGGTGCCTTCCTTTCAACTCCAGTAATAGTAACAACCTGGATTTCTAAGTTTTTGACATGGCAGCAAATGAGACATGCCCTATTTTGCCTCATATCAGCTTCCCAATTATAATACCTAAAAAGACACACAAGGCAATTTAAATGGGTACTCATGTTATAAACTATAGCTGACCCTTGAAAAGTGTGGGGGTTAGGGGGCACTGACCCCTACACAGTCAAAAATCTACATATAACTTTTGGCTCCTCCCCAAAACTTAACTACTTAAGGCTTCTGTTGAGCAAAAGTCTTGCCAACAACATAAATAGTCAATTAACACGTTTTGTATGTTATGAGTATTATATACTGTATTCTTCCAGTAAAAGTAAGCTACAGAAAAAAATATGTTGCTGGGAAAATCATAAGGAAGAGAAAATATGTTCACACTAGTTTATGTATATTGAAAAAAAAAACATCTATAGGCTGGAAGGCAGGGATAGGAGCAGGTGCAGCTACTGGCCTGGCCTGGCTCCAGGATAGTGATGTTCCACAGCCTGATGACCCCAACTCAATGGACGCAGCTTCCAGGTGGATCCTCAGGCAGGGACAGCCATCCAGCAGCACAGTACAGCTGCCCCATCTGCCTGGACGTGCACCACCAGCCTGAAGCCATTGACAGCTGCAGCCACTCATGAGTTGCCCACCTCCAGGAAGCTACCTTGAGGAGGGGTCGATGCCCAGCAGGGAGAAGCCTAGGTGCACAGCTGCCCTGGGGCAGCACCAAACCCCAGGTGTTCGACCTGACCACCCCAACAGCACACGGGATGACCTACAGCCCTGCCAACGTCCTTAGCAATCCTCCCTGGGGAACTTAAGGGCACCAGGCTCAACTCCTGCCCTAGTAGCCTTCCATTCCATCCCATGAAGTGGAGTGGGCATTTGTAAATAAATGCCTTTATTGTGGCTTTTGCTGTCAACTCCTTAAAAAAAAATCTGCTGGGGCATCTTGCGGGCTAGGAGCATGCCACTCTTGATCTCAGGGTCACGAGTTTGAGCCCCACATTGAGCATAGAGATTACTTTAAAAAATACATATAGAAGTGTACCAGCAGGGTTCAAATTTGTGTTATTCAAGTGTGACGTATATAGATAAGAACAGGCCATTATGCCAGAGTTTAGGCAGAATGGACACTTCTGTGCAGTCAGAACAGATAGAATGAGTTGCTTCCAAGCGACTGTTATAAGGGGCTTAATTGACCAGAGAACCATATCATTATCCACCAGCTGTGAGAAACCGTATTTGGAGCCACTAGCAATCGGAGTCAGAACCTCTTCTACCTGCCACTCAGTCCCTATGTTTCTACCTCTGTCACAGACTGTGAAGACTCAGAGTAAATCAGGCCACTGAAGATTCTTCTCCATAAAACTGAGTTGAGATTTTTAGAAGAAATCTACTTTCAGTCCTTAGAAAGATGCAATATCATGGCCTCATGATTAAAGATGGCAGACTGAAGGTAGAGATTTACCCCCTCTAATTCCCAAGACTCCGAGAAAATGAGAGTAGATGGATCGTTAAGTATTTAAACCCACTACAAAGGAGGAGAAAGATCACCAGTGGCACAACGAAAATCCACTTTGAAGGCAAATCGGATTGTGGTGCTGTCAAGCACACTGGGTAATTCTTCCAGAATTCAGAGGAAGAAAAATGAGTCATTGAAAATCTGTTTCCTAATTTGAAAATCAAGACCACAATAAAGCAAAATCACTAGCTTGCTTATTGATGAGAAAACACTTAGTGGAGTGCCTGGGGAAAAAAAAGAAGTTGCTCTGTCAATGTTCAACCAAGTTTTGATTTGGAGGGATACTGAGTCCCACAGAGAACCAGAAGGAAGATCAGCTTCCACAGCTGGCCTCAGCCAGCTGAGGTCTCAGCCTTGGCGACAGTGATATCTGGAGCCTGATCATTTTATTTAGGGTAGGGAATGCTGGCATGTGTTTTGAGATGTTTAGCAGCATTCCTGGCCTTGGTCCACTAGATGCCAGTAGCACACTTCTCCCCAAATGCCCAACCCCCAAATGTCTCCAGACACTGCTAAATGTCCCCTGGGGTCAGATGCACCCCGGTTGAGAACTACCACCTTTGGAGGACACTGACCATTACCACTCCAGCTCTGTAAAGCAAGACGTCTGTAGTGGAGCATCTCGGAGGGCTTTTATTTAGTGACCAGCCCATTTCCAGGCTGCTTGCACATCGTCATTCAACAAGCCCCATCTATGAGGAAGCCTGCAGCCTCTCCCTGTCTTATGTGAGGCTGTGGGGTCCTTGCACTTCAGGGAGGCAGAAGGCTCTGGGGGCTTCCGCCCTGGTTCTCCTGGAGCATTGCCAAACTAAAAGCTAACTTGGTAAATTCTCAAGTCTGGCTCTCAGCCTCACCACATTTCAAAGTACAGGCCCAACATGCTCTAAGCGCGTCTCCAGCACATTCCCAGCAGACCTGGAATTTAACACAGAGCACGCTTGGCATATTCTGATGTTGGGAATTTTCGTAATTCTTGGAGGCCCTATCCCTGGTTCTTCTCTCTTTCTCTCTCTCCTGTGCCCACTCCAGACCTGTAGCCAGACACCCAATGTCCTCTGAGAGGCTCTAGGAACTGAACTGGGGTCTCCAGAGCTTTGGAGATTTGGGAGAGAGAGAACAGAAAAAGCAGGACAAAAGGATTTGCCCAAGAACCCCATGGCTTGGAGCTTCCATATCTAATTCTGAGCACTCTTCTGATCCTCTGCACTGTGGCTGTTACCACCAAAAACTAATCCTGGGACCTCCTGGAAAGTTCACACAAACTGTGCTCCAT